ATAATGTGTTTCGGACATGACAGCCTTACAGCAAAGCCTTTTTCAGTGCAAGCTACGCTGCAGGGTTATTGTTAAAATGCGTGGTGATCAGGTAGAGTATGATCAGACGTAGTAACATGGGACTGTAACGACGTGGTAAGGTTCCAAAATATTGTTAACTCACTGGAATTCCCATCCTCTGAACGAAAGTTATGTAAGAAGTAGTTGTAAGAAACGCAAAAAAATACTATTATGATATTTTTTGCGTTTTTTACAATTACTTATTGGACCCAACAAATCTTCATGCCAAATTTGGTGAAGATCCATCAACAGGGGGCGAAGTAGTATATATTACTCTCATCAGGTTGTGGGATTTGACTGCCAATCTTATGACGCACCCACAATCTTTTTTGTGCACCGTTTTTTTTTTCTGTTTTTTTTTGTTGTTGTTTTCGAGGTAACGAGGCGCAAAACGAGGAACCTTGGATTCAAATACAAGAACGCTAACCACTGGACTGAATTATCAGCTCATCTTTATGATTTTTTGAAGTCAACTTATAATTTGTTACATGGTTGAACGATATTTTCTTTGCACACTAACTGAAGCATTAAAACAAAGCCTTTAATCATTTCAGGCTTGAGAGATAATAATATTCAAAGCAATTCCTTCTACTTAAAACCTGATTTCAAAACATTATTTCTTTTTGTACACGACAAAGAATCAAGACCATTGAACCACATATCTATGTTTATTTACGTCTGAGAAAAAATCACTTTATACATGACTAATTAGGCATTAATTGTGGGTATTCTTTCATCAATATTGCTAAACCTAAATGTTGTCAGGTATGACCAGGAAAACAATTCTGAATAAAAAAAAAAAGAAAAAAGATTTATTCTTCATTATTCTTTATAACACAATTACTGGTACTTAAATTCCTCCATTTTCCATTTAAATACAACCTATAAAGATATCCGTATTTATATGCTCGAACAAATGTGCAATCTGAAACTGAGACAAAAAACTCTTGACAGAAAAAATAAGATAAATTTAAGATAATAGTTGCATTATTTTACCTGTCAACTCTTAATTATAATAATCTCATTTATCTAAAACCTAATTATGTGCACATTTACTAATCATAATCTCATTCTTGTAAAGCTTAATTAATGTACACATTAATAACTAAATCATAACCTCGTTCTTTCAAAAGGTAATTATTTTCCCTATTTACTAGCACTAATTTCATCACCTATGGTCTTGTCATTTTTGATATATACACCTTTAGACTCCTTTCAAAAATCTCTAAAGGATAAAAGCCAAACGTTTAAATATAAGTGCTAATTTCTTGATTTGTTAAAAACCGTTTATCAATCACGGAGAACATGTCACAATACTTTGACACTTTTAGTAACTTCGACATCGTAGTCCAATGCATTGTTTTCTTCTGGTATCGTCGTTCTACCAGCGATTTGCGTAATATCCACACTGTTTGATATACAATACATATACACTTAAAGGCACATTATGCAATAATGACATAACTTGATGTTTCATCATAAATGTGCAGCATTGTTTTTTATTTCGCGCTTCTCTAGTTCTTCAACAGCAGCGTCTACCAACAGATTAAGACATCGAAAAGGATCCTCTTTATTGGTTCCGTGATACGTTAGCTGAGAAGCGTTGTATATCCATTTGTTTGGTGTGTCAGTTCTACGTTTGTTTGGATCTGGATTTCGAAATTTGGCTTCATCCGGAACAGAAAGTGTTTCAAACTTTGGAGAACCAGTAAAACATGCTAATGTGGATGAAGTAAATACTCCAGAAGAGGCAGTTATCGTCACGAAAGGAAGTTGGACTGAGAATGATGATTTCACTTCTTTACAAGACATTTTAACAGTTTGGATGTTAGAACGTACACTGGAATTAATTTGAGAAACAGACGGCGATTTAAATTTTCGAGAAATCATATCTCGTTCATGACCGTAAGTCCATCGTTTCCCGAGTTTTAAAGAACAAGCCATGTCATTCTGTGAAGATGGCAAAATGGAGTGTTCATCAGCACATCCATCGCTGAAGCTACCCTCACATTCGAAATCACCAACTGTTGTGTTGTTAATTGGCGTTAAATATTGAGTGTCTGGTTTTGTAAGTTTATCCTTCTCCAAGGTCTCCAAAGTGTTTAGGTCTGGTGATTGGTACAATCCTTGTCTTTTATGAGACGTCTTTCTGGTAATTGTATACAGAAGAGGGTCATGGCCTTCCTTGCGTATAATGTCTGGTAGGATACGACGCCGAGCATTGATAAACCAATTACAAACTTGTAAGATACTAAGATTGGCTTCTTTCGAAAGTAACATTTTTTCCTCGTCTGAAGGGTAAGCATTATAACGGTGTTCGTAAAGCCACATTTTCAGGATTTTGACAGACTCTTTGGGTAAGTTTCCTCGACGTTTTCTGGAATTCAATTCTGATTGATGGTAAGAAGGATAGGGCATGGAATCGCCATAGATCTGCATCTGGCTCGTCTCTCTAACTAAAAAAATAACATTTAGTATTAAGAATAGTCACACATAAAGACAAAACGTGTAAAATGTGATTTCTGAATATGACATTATTAGAGAATATTATGAATGATAGTCTATCAAACAGACAACAGTAGTAAGATTACATTTGCTTAACATGAGGAACAATGGGTAAGGAAGTCCAATCAAATCCAAACAAAGAAGTATTTTAATGGGTTAACATGAAATACATGTAGAAGAATATTGCCTTTAAGTTCTTAATTGTAACATACTGTTTTTCCTCATTGACACAAGTCTATTGTTTTAAAACATAATGCAACAACACTTAATAAATTTTTAATGCATTAACCTAATTAAGTTTGTCTAACATATCAAATATATAATGTCAGGGTAATGTGACATTACGTTAGAGAGAATAGTATTATTTACTAAACCACTTTTAACTTTTTGCAATAAATAAAATCAGAACATTTTTTTTCCAAAAATATATCTTAAGGTAAAATATTGCTTTATTAAGCTAAAACATATCTCTCTTAAATCATATCATACTATTCTGTGACCGTGCTAAAACTGCTTAATATTAATTCAAACATTTCCGAGCATTGTTCTAAATACAATATCATAAGTATGACTGTATATCATAGACTATTGGAAAGAAGGCGAGAATTTAACTGGATAATTTTGAGCAATCAGTTGAACAACTTTCCTGTTGGAAAGAAGATGAGGTCTGTATGAAATAATCTTTTATGAGCTTCTGTAGTGACCTTAGAAGATCGACAACTTACATCGATTCTCTAAGGTATGGTGAAACAGTGAATTATGGAGAACATCATTAAGACGGCGTCAGAACTTTAGCTTCATTTCTAATGTTAAGAATGATAATCACGACAAAATGATGCTTCAAAACTATCTTTGTAATACAATTCAAATAAGAATGTAATAATGACACTTTCTGAGATAGAAAAATGCTAAAATTATTTTCAGACAATTTATTTTTTTCATACATAACTAATGAAGCTTGGCAGATAATGTTTATGCTGTTGTATATAACGCTCCACGCTTTCATAGCAGACTTCATTATTAGAGTAATCTCGTTGTTTAGAAATATATATTACAAACTTTCAAATCTATCAACTCTAATATAAAACTACCTTGGAAAAATGCAACTCCAACCACGTGTCCCAAGTGTTGGTTGAACGTTCTTAATTATTGTCATACCATACAGAAACGTACAACACAGATCTTTCTTTACATTGTTAAATCATACAGAAACGTGCAACAATAACGTTTTATTTATCATTGCCATACCATACAGAAATATGCAATACTAACGTTTCTTATCATTTCATACCATACAGAAACGTTCAACACTAACGTTTCTTGTCATTGTCATACCATAGAGAAATCTGCAATACTAACGTTTCTTATCATTTCATACGATACAGAAATGTTCAACACTAACGTTTCTTGTCATTATCATACCATGCAGAAATGTACGACACTGCTTTATTTTATTACATTTAAAATTATGGGTTACTATAGTATTTTTCATTTGATGACAAAGCTTAATTTCTATATGTTGAGCATTCTACTTTCGAATGTCCCGGATACGTGAGAAGCAAAATAAATGCACATAATGTACTCAGGTGTCAAACAAGAGAAGCCAAAAACTGTTAAAAGGCTGATAAATTTCCATGTTTGAACAATACTGAATCGTAAATGAAGTCTGATGGCCAGGTGACAGGTGAAGAGGAAATTTACCAAAAGTGCAAAGAGATATTGTATAGCTATTTCTTTTCAAGAAATACGCACGCATGAATTTCATTTTAACGTAATTAACACAAGAAAGAAAGGAACTCATATTACGTGCAGAATAATTATTTTTCTTTCTGTACCCGAAAGGAAACACGTATTATACATATTTGATAAAAACATAATATTTAATAACGTTCCATAGTGCAGTCAGTCTTCTGTAATGCAAATTGCCATTGTGTACGAATTTGTTTTCATTAACTAAATATTTGAAATGTCAAGCATTGGAAACGATACAACACAAACAGAAGTGAATTTAGACTGTCCAGGTATCATTTGAACAATGTAATCAATATGATTCAATGGTAGAACGCTCACCATTTTTACTGACGTATTTTACGTTGCAAAAAATGATTAATGATTTATATAATGTCAGGAGTTCTACAAGATTCGCCTCAAAAGTAAATACGTATATATATAAAAAAAACAAAACACTTTGGTATCTGTTTCTTTGTTAACGTATACTATTTCTGTTTTTATGGGGCCAACGTTCATCGGTTGGAATAGTTGTTATATTTTGGTACGGTATAATTTATGTTATTCACCAAAGCGCATTTCTTAAAATATCTATGTATATTAAGAGATGATTGGTCCAACTCTATTATAACCGCCCCCCCCCAGTGGCACAGCAGTATTTCTGCGAACTTACGACGCTAGAATCCGGGTTTCGATACCCGTGGTGGGCAGAGCACAGATAGCCCATTGCGTAGCTTTGTGCTTAATTACAAACAAACAAGCTATTATAACCACTGCAAACTTCTGCTGTTTATGAATGTACGTGCCCTCAATATGTTACTGCCATCTGGTGGCATTAGTCAATTTAACACTTGTGATAACTTTGTTCAAAACGAGCATTAAACGATTCATTACATTACATAATAAACACAGTACAATAGAAATATAGAAATAATTTTATGTGATGAATAACACATTTTACTTCTTGATTTTCAAAACTTTAGTTCTCAGAAAATAACTATTTTAACAATGTTCAGTTTGTTTATGCACATTTTTGTTCTGTAATAAACATGATGTACGAATTCAAAGCATTCTGTTTTCGGAAGATTCAGCTGCCAAGATCTGATCAAAGTCCACCAAACAGAACCTTAATAACATAATTAACTCAGCTAATAGCATTCTGCTGACAACTTTTGTGAAAGCAGGAAACTACACATACGCACATATGGAAATGTTCATAGTCAAAAACATACGATTTTAAACGTAATGAATATTAAAAACGATGCTTAAAAGCTCGTTCAGTCAAACCTACCTATTGCAACGGTAGCAAAATGTGTCATGAAAGTTGAATAAGTACGATTTAGCATATTTCTTACGTATACAAAACTCTCTTGTAAAGAAAACTATTGCAAGTTTTGGATGATATCGGTAAGCAAATAGTGAAGTGCAACATCTGTAACTCTTTGGAAAGTTTTGAAGTTTATTATACCTATGATAAACTGCTTGTTAAGCTACCCAATTTTCATCTTGTAGGCTTTATCTCCTCTATTAACATATAACATGTCACGAGCATTTACTTCCTATCACAAAGAGTGCTAGAAAAAAGAAAAGAGCTGGAACTTTTAACTGGCAATTATGGGATATTTTGTAACCACACAACTGCGTTGTAGCTGCAGTGCTTTTCGATAACACGATATTGTAGACGCTTAGAAACATTTCATTTCCCAATGACAATCGATAGACTGTAACGTACGTATGTTTTCATTTAGTTACACCACGAAGAAATGTAAACAACTATAAACTGAAATTATCACACAGACATAATATTCACTTTTGATGATTAAAATTCTTGGTTTGATAATTTAGATGGAAAGTATTCAGTGCAGTTCTTGGTAAGAAGAAATATATAAAAAACATTACTGATCTCACTACAAATAAGAAATATATAAAATATATTAATGATCTCGCTTCAGATAACTAAAAATACATAAAAAATATTACTGATCTCGCTTCAGTTAACTAGAAATATATAAAAAATATTACTGATCTCGCTTCGGATAACTAGAAATAAATAAAAACATTACTGATCTCACTACAAATAAGAAATATATAGAATATATTAATGATCTCGCTTCTGATAACTAGTGGCGACAAACAGAAAATCAACAAAATGGGCTTGAACTACTGCATATGAAGACGAGTATTAACTCATGTTTCATCGCCTACGATTTTACTATTACTATAAGTTAACATATATTACCATAGAAACTTCTCTGTGTTTTTGTTAATTGCCAAATATATTCCAATTTGTATAAGACACTGATTTTCAAATATGTGAAGATTATCCACAGTAAAAAGCAAAACTGTATTTTCTAAAGGAGAGAAAATTGAGCTGCAGAAAAAGATAACACGTGTAACCATATCCACAAGGTTTGTAATTACTAAGTTAGAGTTGGTTTCACATTACTGCTTACTTCAAATCATTACAACAAATGAACTATTATTTTCTAAGCTGTATACTACATCTAATTGATTATAAGATGATTCAAAAAACAGTCGTGTCTTTGCAGCTAAGCCGTTAGGTTACATATTTTACATCTGAGTGGTTTTTGTGATAATAATGTAACCACGTTAGTCGTTCCTCTGCGAGTATCCATGGTTTTCATACCAAACCAAGTAAGCTTTATTATATTCTGACTCAAGAGGCATTTAGTCAACATAAATATAAGGTTAATAATGACGTGCTTCATGAATATAAACATAATGTGCTGTTTAACGAAGAAACACCAGTAACTTTAATATCGACTAAAAACGACTGTTACAATGGATATAACAGTTTCTCAACATCTGTGCTTAACCGTTTCGATACCATGGGATTTATGTCCCCTTCTAAAGCACAGTGAGATATTAACATTTGTCTTTTTGTTTTATACTGAGTATCTAAAACTAAACCTGTCACTGGGAGAGTTTTTTTTTATCTATATTGTATCGAAACAGATAAATAGTGGAAATGTTATTGTTATGATGGTAAAATCTACTCCGAGCATGCAGAAATTTTCAAGTTTTTAAAGACGGCTATTGGTAAATTAATAGATTTATTTGGGTACAACACTTTAACTATAACAAACATCACATAGAATATTCAAGGTACAAATACATTGAAGTACCTAATCACGTTTCACTGTTAGAGACGAGGCGTTGCATGAAAATAAATCGATTATCATAACAATAATTGAGTGGGTAT